AAAATAACTTCAAATTTATAGAAAAATTATGAAAAAAGTGACAAGAACTGCCACATATTCTTCCAGATTTACCAATTATTAAAAGTCTAATACATTTACTTTATCCTTAGTAATATTCTTTGCTCTGCAATCAACTTTATCAGATCTCAATATATCCACTCTACATATTTAAAGTGGATTTCTTATAGGAAGCACATAGTTGGATCTTCCTTTTTTAAAAATCCAATCTGATAATCTCTACCTTTGAATTCAGGAATTTAGACCATATACGTTTAATGTGATTCTTGGTATGTTTGGTTTAAATCTATCCTCTTGTTATTTTAAATCTACCATCTCGGTATTTTCTACTTGTCTGATTTGTTTTTTGTTGTTGTTTGTTTTGTTTCGTTTTCTTTCCCTTTTCCTCTTTTTCTTCCTTCTTTCAAAGTAATTGACTGTTGAATTTTTGAGTGTGCTTTTCATATCTTCACACAACCAATGAAACCATTTGCTGAGGTCAAGTAATTTAGGTAGTCTGTAATGTTTCCAACAGTTTTCAATTTTCCTGGGAAGTGCGGATACACACCTGCCTCACCCTTCAGTGGGTGGGATTAGAGGGCAGAAGAGGAATTGTCTTCCTAACCACCTGCTTATTCTTTCTTCCTCTAGAACGAGAGGGTTCTATCAACCTGGACTCCATTTATAGTAACTTCCAGCCCTCCCTGAGCCACATAGACTCTGAAACAAAGGTAAGAAGTTTCTAGATGAGATGCTCACATCTTACCCCTGCCCTGAGACCCTCTCTCTCCTCCTACCATTGTAGGACCTTCAGGAAAGTAAAGCCATATTTAGTTTGTTAGTCCAGGTGCTCATCTATACTTCAGGGAGATGAGCATAACTCAGGGTGGCAGCAGGTAGGGGAGAAGGAAGGCTAAACAGCGGGGTGGAATCCACTTCCCCTAGGCTTCAGGCTAGAGGTTTCCTTCCCTACTTTAAGTATGTCTTTGATAGCCAAGTTATTTATTTTTTTTTGTTTACAAACACACATAAAATTTGAAAGAATAATGCAGTAAATGCCTATATATTCCCATATGGATCAACACTGTTTATGATGCTGTCATATTTGCATCATATATATATATATACTATATGCATAAA